GCCATGCAGTGTGGGGTCAGCACCAGAGAATGAGTGCCTCCTTACCTAATGCACATCCCTTCCCTGACACTGTGCCGTGCTTGCCTGAGACAGCTGTTAATTCCATGGGATTTTAAGATATACTAGATGTGTACAGTTTGGGTGGTATATTTTGCTAAGATTTTATTTTTAAGCAATCTCTATACCCAACATGGTGCTCGAGCCCAGAACCCCAAGTTTAAGAGTCACACAACTCACTGAGCCAGCCAATGCTCCTAAATGGAAAGCTTTTTTTTTTTTTCCCCCAAGTAATCTCTGCACCCAATGTCAGACTCAGACTCACAACCCTGAGATCAGATCAGGAGTCACATGCTCTACTGACTTAGCCAGCCATGGGCCCCCTCGGTGGTATTAAAAGTGCCTTATATTCAAAGTACATGGTCTCTCTTTGAATGGCTTTCTTTCCAGACATGATTCTACCAATCAGTCAACATTTATTAGGGGAGTCTTTGGAGTCCAGGGTGAGGGAAGTACATTGGTGTATGTACAGTGCCAGCCGAAGGCATTTTATAACCAGAGGAGGAGGTAAGAGTGATAAGGGTGAGACTATTAGAGGATATTGCTGAGCAGGGTGGTATGACTTCAGGGCTGGGAGAAGGGAAGCTCTGAGTGGGCTGAGATAGTGGAGAGATTGAACTGGCCCCTGCAAGCCCAGCTTTCCTGGGAAAAGTGAAAAATGGAAGAACGACTTTCCAGGACGAGTGACAGGGGCCCCAAGGCAAGATGTGCAGATGGGGAAACATTAGGAAATAAGTTTGACCAGACCAGGAAGAGAGTGTGGAAGTGTGAGGGAGAAATCAGGCTCTGGGGACACCTGGGTGGCTCAGGGGTTAAGCGTCTGCCTTGGGCCCAGGGCATGATCCTGGAGTCCTGGGATCGAGTCCCACATCGGGCTCCCTGCATGGAGCCTGCTTGTGTCTCTGCCTCTCTCTCTCTGTGTCTCTCATGAATAAACAAATAAAATAATAAAAAAAAGAAAGAAAGAAGAAAGAAAGAAAGAAAGAAAGAAAGAAAGAAAGAAAGAAAAAAGAAAGAAAGGAAAAGGAAAGAAAGAAGAAAGAAAGAAAGAAAGAAAGAAAGAAAGAAAGAAGAAAGAAAGAAAGAAAGAAAGAAAGAAAGAAAGAAAGAAAGAAAGAAAGAAACTAGGCCCTGAAGAGACAGATTAGGAAGCCCTAAAAGTTATGCCCCAGAGACCATGTGAACTTCTGAATGAGACCAACTAAAGATAAATCGTGTTGGAAATGAGTTCCAAGCGTTTTGAAGGGAGATGAATCAAGGTAGTGAGAGAAGGCAACAAGGTGAAAGGTCAACCTGGCTGATAATCTGAAGCAAAATAAATTGTAGTTATTTAATCGACTATATAAGTGTTGTTTGATGTGATCAAAGAATTAGGTAACAAAGCCTCAGATCCTTTTAGAGCAGTAAGGGGTGTGTGACAATCATCTGGGTCCAGGGAGTGTTAGATAGGGAAGATCACAAATGGCTCCAGGGTTTGTGGCTTGGAACATGAGAAATCCATGGCATGACAGTCACAAATAGGTGGGAGAGATTATAGAAGAACGCCTTTGGGGAGGAAAGCTGGTGAAATATGTTTTAAATGTGTATGGTGTGTATGGTTTAGTTATAGATGTTTTAGATGCGTATGGTTTGGATTTATTTTTTTTTTTAATTTTTTTATTTATTTATGATAGTCACACACAGAGAGAGAGAGAGGCAGAGACACAGGCAGAGGGAGAAGCAGGCTCCATGCCGGGAGCCCGACGCGGGACTCGATCCCGGGTCTCCAGGACCGCGCCCCGGGCCAAAGGCAGGCGCCAAACCGCTGCACCACCCAGGGATCCCCGTATGGTTTGGATTTAAAACATCTAAATGGAGTTATTTTGTGTTGGAAACATGGGGTGAAATGTAGGGGAGAGCTCAGGGCTTTGTGTGTCCGTTTGGACTTCTAGAGCAGTGGAGTTGGCATCAAGTGCATAAAGAAGTAGATGAGCTCACTGAGGGAGTGAGAGAGTTTGGACAGAGCAGAGCAAAGGGCTGGGACTTTGCTTGGAAGATACTTTGATGCCAGAGATCAGTAATGTGCAGGAGAGAGAAGTGATAGCTAGGGGGACCCCCGGAATTTCTGTGTAGGGAAAGGAGTAAAGCAAAATGCCACCAAGAGGTCAGAGAGATCCAGACTGAGAAAAGACTAGAACAAGGACATCGCTAGCCTTGGAAGAAACAGTTTTAGTAGAAGGGCAGGGTGGGAGGGGGTTGAAGATGGATCATAAATATCCAAGAATACACAGAATGCGGGAAGGAGATTGTGACTGGTGGTGGGCAGGGGGATGGCCAGATCTAGTGAAAATAACTTATTTTCTGGGGAAAGAAGGACTTTGGGCATGGTTGAAACTAGAAAAGAAGACACCAACCATACACAGATTTGGAGATGCTGAAGAATGAGGGAAATTGGGAGAACAGGTTTCAGTGGGAGATGGAAGGGGTATGGGGACTAGCTTTAGAGAAAACAACCTTTTTTCCTGAGCCTCAGTAGAAGGGCAGAGATAGATGGGAATGAGGCTTTCCCAAGAGATGTGTGGTAGGGGACTGGGATTTCAGGGGACAAGGAAAGAGCACTCACTGTTTGGCTTTGATCAGATAGCTCAGAAACGTTTCGACTCAGGTGAGTTCTGGCAGTGTTGATGTGTCTGATATTTAAGACTAAATGCTGATGACATGATCATTGATTATCAATGCATACTTCCTAAAACATTTGCCAGATTTTGAACATCCTTAATAGAATCCATTCAGAATAAAGTAGGAAACCACTCAGCAATATGACCTTCCATCTATATTACCAAAGTCTGCCTTCACTCCTATGTAAATGCTACAGGTGGTTAATTGGAATGTATTTTGTGTTTGGACAGTCAAAATCCTTGCTTATTCAATGGGGTTTCATGTCCCATTGCTGCTTAGGAAGACACTTCTCCCATAGCCCGGGTAGAGGATGGGGAAACCTTCCTAGATGTGGTCCCTGTGAGTCTTCAAACCTGGAGTGTGTGGTGGGCACAGAAATGGAGCAGGCAAAAATCAAAGAAAACTATATTGCAAAATTACAAAATTCTAGAACTGGACCCAGTGTTTCAAGACAAACAGAATATATGAGATAACGTATGTGAAAATAGTAGCTGGGGAGTGACACTGTGCTACACATGCAAACACAGATCATTATTACGTAGGGTCCTCTAAACCTGGACCAAGTCTGAAGTTTGACCTAGTTTTGAGTCCCAGGTCTGCCACTTCCTAGCTGGGTGCTTCATTTTGTCATCTGTAAACAAATATAATAATAATGTCTACTGTACTGAGAGGATCAAATAATATTTAGACAGCCCTTGAAGAGTGAGTGCCGACAGTTGGCAGGTCCTCCCTGGCACTGTCGACCACTAGTTTAATTCTTTCACCAAATTAACTGGTGACTTCCTGCATCTGAATTTATCATTTGTATTCCGTAGTTCTAGGTAAGTGAATTTAGCTGTGGGCAGCCTACTCTAGACTCTACTGGAAATTCAGCTTGCCTGAGAACAAGGACTCTCACACATATTTAATCAGACATTGTCTAACAAAAGAAGCAATTGATGCACCATTCACAATGTTTTTAAACCTATATAAAGAGTCATTGATTCAGAACAGTTGCTAGGCCTGTGAAAATGTGTGTTTGTTGGTTTCCATGGAGACCACCCTGCTGGCTGTTCTGTGATCGGAGCCCTGATTATACACTGGGATTGCCAAGGAGCCTTCAAAGCTGTCTCTATAACAACACCTCCTTGTGTAGTAACACGACCGCCATCCTGAACTGTTTCCCATATAGGAGTTGCTCTTAGAAGAGAAGTTCTGCTGGTTAAGTTTCAGCCTCCAATTGATTTATCCTTATGAAGATCCCTTAAGTGGATAAGAATTTTTCTGAGTTTTGACTGCCTATCTCTCTGGGTTTTTTGCCAGATCTTGGAGCATGGCCTAATAATGTCTTTTCTTTTTTCACTGACCTGTTGACATTTCTCTTGACCAAGATATTGAGCGAAGAAGGAATCTTGGCTATGTCAGTTTACTAGATAAAATTAAGCCTGTTCTACATATAGGATGAATTTGTAAAAGCAGTGTCAACAGATGCTGTTAGGGTTCAATGTTTGTAATTTTAAAATGTCTCCAAGACTATTGATAAAACTCTTGAGATTTCTGGTAGAATTTTTTTTTTAAAGGAAGAAGTAGCAGCTTAGTGTCCTTTAAAGATTTTATTTATTTATTCATGAGAGACACAGAGAGAGAGAGGCAGAGATGTAGGCAAAGGGAGAAGCAGGCTCCATGCACAGAGCCCGATGTGGGACTTGATCCCAGGACCTTTGAGCCAAAGGCAGATGCCCAACCACTGAGCCACCCAGGCATCCCCTTATTGCCCTTTAATATGGAATCATACAAATTTCATGCCCTCTAAATAACATAATTGTTTACTCCACTTAAATTTTTTTAGGTGTATTTGTACAGAATTTTCAAGGCTTAATTTTGAATCATATCTTGAACTTTTGAGGAGGTGACAAGTAAACACATCTTTCAGGTTCAGAAATCAGACGTCTTAGGTTCAGTCCGGCATGCATGTGTGTGTGTGGCGCGTGCATGTGTACCCACCCACCTCACACACACAAAGGACAGACTATGGGAAAATCCTGAGAGCAGAGTTACAATGCCCATCACGTTTTGCTCTCAGTAGATTGTCTTTGCTTAACAGAGTGTTAGTTCTCTTCCTCCTTCTCCTTCCTCCTTTGTTCCTACTATCACTCCTTCCCCTACCCCAGTTTTATTGAGATATAATTGACATATAACATTGTATTCCCTTAAAGTGCACCACATAATGATTTGATACTTGTATATATTGTGAAATGATCACTGTAATAAGTGCAGTTAACATCCATCACCTCACATAGTTACAGCAAAGTAGGGAACGCTTCATGACATTTGCATGTCATCCTTGTGCGGGGGCCACGCTAACGGTCTCAGTATCGTTCTAATTTTGGTATATACGCTGCCAAAGTGGGCACAATTACTTCCTTGTAACCTCATCATTCTTGTCGTCCTCACTGTTGGGTGTGGAGAGCTCGTCCCTGTCTTCCCACACTTCCTGCATGGGGAAAGGGAGTCAGGGAAGAGGAGCCTCCCCACCCACCCCTTCAGTTCACCATATGAATTTCTTCCCTCTTCTCAGTCGAAGACTCCACGCCTTCTTCCTGTAACCTTGGGAAGTTCATTCGAAGGGATCACTTTTCTCATAGCGCTTAGCATTCCTTATTCCTCCTCTGGTGGTTATTCAGCACCATAATGCATCAGGCATGGTCTGATGAAAATTAATTATTAAACTCAATGAAGCTGTGCTGTAGAGTGACTTTTATGTCGAAAGAGTGTACTTAAAAATCTAATGACGGTTATGACCTAATTAAATCCTTTTTCTTTTTCACAGCTTAAGCAGCTATGGCAATGTGAATAACTTTTCATGGAAAATTAAAACCTAGAGGCAGAGCCTGATTTCCTTTACAGTCTAGCTGGGCAACAAAAACAGCATGTGGATGTCTTTCCATGACATCACTGTTGAAGCGACAGGAGCTTGAAGTGGCAAGCTGGGGAGCTGCCTTGTTATTGTTGAGCTGTATGGAAACAGCAAAGACGTTAGTTATCTGGGAATTCTTCGTTTATGAATAAGGTTTTCCCAGAGGGCACGTGGGAGGGGAAATACACTTGTGGATTAAAGAAAAGAATTAAATTCCATTTCCTATTGTCAAAATAATTCATAGGGAAGGGAGTGATGCTAACGGATATTTTGCTATTTTGGATAAGTTTGTTATTTTCTTGTTTCCAATTATGCACTCCTAATTCTTTTCTGGGCTATTTCTAGTGCCAGTGACCATCACAGTGTTCTCTGCTGCAAAAATATGATAACAATGCTGGCTTTCACAACTTTGGGCCTGGATGAATTTGCATCAGTTCATTTACTAAGGAAATGCCTCGAATTTCTATAAATTTCCTGGCTCTGAGGTTGATGTATAATTTAAAATAACTAAAATTAAAGTGATTTTTACAACAGAAAGTCCAGTTAGTTGGGGACATTTACCAGGCATCTGTTGAAGGATGCACACTAAAATGGACCTAGTTCACTGTAGGACAGTATTGCATAAATAAGAGTGCTGAGCGAGTGCCTAAATATGCCGATCTTGTTTTACACAGCTTTACGGGTTTGTGCCCTCATGTCAGACATAGAGAAAGGTGGAATTCTGCATGTACCTCATCAAGTACCTCCCACAGCCCCCAATAATGTTCTTGTAATGCACACATGCCTTTCTTTGAGTGTGCCATTTATTGTCTCCTTCTAAAGATCTCTCCGGGGCACCTGGGTGGCTCAGGTTGTGATCCTGGGGTCCTGGGATGGAGTCCCACATCGGGCTCCCCAGAGGGAGCCTGCTTCTCCCTCTGCCTATGTCTCTGCCTCTCTCTGTGTGTCTCTCATGAGTAAATAAATAAAATCTTAAAAAAAAAAAAAAAAAAAAAAAGAAGATCCTCTCTCCGTGTCACTAAAACTAAGTTTCCCAAGGTGTAATCGAGCCCAGGGTCATCAGCAAAGAGCTCTTCAGCCCCTGTACATGCCCAAACCAGAGGGCAGGCTGTGGGCAGAATTGAGTTGGCTGTGCCATGAAAGAAGAACTGCCATAATCAAAGCTAATAAAATGAAACAGTTCTTGGGAAATCCGAGGGAGCAGACGTTTATTATGGGAAAGCTGAGTTTTGACGCATGATAGAAAGGAATGACTTGTGGATGTGAAAGACTTTTAGTGGTGTTGTTTTTGTTTATAATTGTGTCTGACTATAAGGCCAGGCAGCTCAATACCAGCAGGTTGTTATATTCAGCAAGCTTTTAGGATTCCAAAATAGCCAGTCAAATATGCAGCAAGAAAAGTTTTTTTCAGTCACCAATGAATTACCTGGTACCATATAGACACAACTAGTATTAGACTGTGTGTGTTGATTTTCTTTTAAGATTTTATTTATTTATTCATGAGAGACAGAGACAGAGACACAGGCAGAGGGAGAAGCAGGCTCCCTGTGGGGAGCCCGATGTGGGACTCAATCCCAGGACCCCGGGATCATGACCTGAGCTGAAGGCAGATGCTCAACCTGTGCAGCCCCCCAGTCACATCTGCCTCCAAGGAAAATTCTATCTTGTTTCTTTTCTGCCTCACCTCAGGCCATTCATTGTCCCCTGGAGCTTTAGGTGTTTTCTGCACAATTTTCCAGGTGTGCACAATGTTTGGCCCAGATTGTGGCAGGTGATTAGTCAAGAGTTGATAAATAAAATACCCAGCACTTTCCCTCACCTCCATGTTGGGAGAAGAAAAATAAGGGCAAGCAAGCATCAGGCTAATTAGAAAAATCACAATAATCGGGTCACTCCTTCCCAGCCAGCCACCTGGGTGTCATCCTGTGAGCCCAAGGAAGGCAGGGCACATCTTACTCAAGGTTATATCCCTGACACCCTCTGAAGTGCCCAGATCTCCATAAATATGCCAAAATAATGCATAAAGGGTCCATGTTTTCCCAGATGCAGAATTTGAACTGCAAAGAATTTGGTGACTGAAAGCACCTCTTGTATATTTTAGCGAAAATGGAATTCGGGGCCATTGTTTTTAAGTCTCTGATTTGTCTTTCGTACAGTGATTGCCACCCCCACCCCACACCCCCCCAAAAAAGCAAGATTTTGCTTTTTTTTCACAGTGGGTTAGGTTTATCTTCTTGGAATTAGAACACTTTGGTTTCAAGGATCCCATCACCTGTTAATGATCTCGGTACTGCCCTTTCTCCCCCAAAAGGATTTTCTCCAGGAAGACAAACGTTTTTCTTCAGATGAGCATAAGAGATGTTCTCATGACATGGGGCCCTGCATTCTCACAGATCTTTACCTTACAAATCCAGCCGTAAGCCTCATTGACACTGTTTGTGACATTTGGCTGTGCTGTTCAGAACTCTTCCTTCTGTGTGTCTTAAACTGTTAGGATTGGGGAGCTCAGCACTTTGGGAGGGAGGGGTTTGGCAGTGATTCGGTGTCACCTTTCATTGGCGTATGCTTTGTCAGTTTTGTCTTTCACGGATGGCTAGAACTCTTGAGAAATTAGAAAAGGAGTTCACTCCAGAGCACTGGAGGGAGTGCATGCCGTCTCATACCCCCCCAGAGCTGAGCCCATAGCCCAAGATCAGTAGTAGATACCTCATGAAAGTATTCCCTGCCCCAGCATCAGAGCTGAGTAAGGCAGTGTGAACCACTTGGATCTCGTTACGTCCTGATGTATCTTCTGTGAAGTCAATGATGGTTCTTCTTTTCTTCAACTTAGTCTCAGGCTGTTGACTGTTCACTCTACGAATTATGTAGAACCTACCTGGCTTTAGTACTCATGCTTCTTATGAGGTTTTCTTTTCCCTGGAGAATTTTTTTCACTGTGCTCTGTTGGAACATGTTATATTCAGCAAGTTTATTCAGCAGAGATTTATAGAGTGATGAGACAGTAGAGCCTAGTGACAGCCCAGCTCTTGGGAGACGGAAAGACCTGGATCAGCATTTCACTCTAGCCTTGTAACCTTGGAAAGATTACTTTGCCTCCGTATGTATCAGTTTTCTCATCTGTAAAATGGGAAACACCGTTATGACTTCATGGAAATGTTGCAGGAATTGTATGAAGTAATGTGTGTTGAGCATTTTACATTTGCTAGTGTGTTATTACTTGAAAAGAATGAGCCTTTCCTTTGCAGATGGAGAAATGTTTGAAGTGCTGTTTGCATTTGGGGTTCAGCTACAATTTTGAGAGCTGCTGATCTGGGTTGATAGAGAGCCTTTATTTCTGCTTGTTTCTATTTTGCCATTCTAGTATTGAGAGAAGTTTAAAATGTCCAGATCCAAGTGACACCATAGGTTACAAAGTGCTTTTTTCAATTTTTCAAGTAACCCAGAGAACCTAGTTAATCATTTTGGAAGCTCTACACAGGTGTTTATTAAAAAATTGAAGAAGAGAAAAAGAAGTATCAGCCCTAAAGATTGTTGGATAGGGTCTTCTGTAGGGAAATTGCGGCTTTTGGCCTGTACTAGGTTAGGTGTAAGAGAATGGGGAATTGAGACAGAAGTGGTATCAAATATGATTTGGAATCACACACCCATCAGATTGGCTAAAGTTATAGAAACTGACAATACCAAGTTTTGGTGAGGATGCAGAATAACATTTCTAGCTTAGAAAACACTACAGCTAGGGGTGCCTGGGTGGCTCAGTTGGTTAAATATCTGCCTTCAGCTCAGGTCATGATCCCAGAGTCCTAGGATGGACCCTGCATCGGGCTCCCTGCTCAGCAAGGAGTCTGCTTCTCCCTCTCCCTCTGCCTCTTCCTCCTGCTTGTGCTCTCTGTCAGATAAATAAAATCTGAAAAATAAAATTTAAAAAACTAATAAATTTGGAAAACACTGCAGCTAAACAAGGTCTATGTAATGATGGAGGAGGCCCACCCCTGGCATATACCTGAGAGAAATGAAGGCATAGATGCACATGTGCACTTCATCGCTCTTATCTACTTTTAATCAACATATTTTGTCTGTAACCACTGTATTTTTAAGCTTCTTGAAAATTCTCACTGGAACAAGTCAGGGAATAAATAAAATCCCTCATCCCCTTAAAAAAATGTTTTAAGTGAAAGACTAAAATTGAATTCCTGAGAAATACTTTATAGCTCATTTCTTTGTTTCTTATAGAGGGGAAAACTTAAATCCAGAGAGGGGAACTGGCCTGAGGCCCCCTCAATGAGTCTAAGACACCCAGGACTACCTGACTGCTGGCCTTACAAATCCAGCTGTAAGTATCAGACACAGGCACAAACACAGGCACAGGCGCAAAAAGAGATGCCCACAAGATTGGCATGGTCTCTTCTGAGGTCCAGTCCAAGGTCACCCCTGGCATGCTGATCAAACCATGTGCCCCGTCATCCTAGAACCAGCTGCCCATCATCCTTTAGGAATAGGATTCTCCATGGGATTTTTTTCAGTACCTTGCTAGGAAAAAGGGGTTCCTAGCTATTGTTTCTGTCTCTGTCTCTGTTTCTCTCTCTCTCTCTCTCTCTCTCTCTCTCTCTCTCAGTTTTCTTTCAGCTTTAAGGGTGACCACTACTCACCTGCCTTCAGCCCAGGGTGTGATCCTGGGATCCGAGATCGAGTCCCACATCGGGCTACCCGTGGGGAGCCTGCTTCTCCCTCTGCCTGTGTCTCTGCCTCTGTCTCTCTCTCAATCTGTGTCTCTCATGAATAAATAAATAAATCTTTAAAAAAAAAAGGGGGGGGTGGCCACTACTCACCTCACACTTTGTGCTCTGGTCAATACCCAGTGGCTTGGAGTTTGCTGACTTGTTGGTACTGTTCCTTCTATGTCGAAAGCCCTTTCCCAACTTCCTCTCTGGGTAATTCTTATTTGTCCAAGATGAACATGGGCATCATCTCGAAGTTCCATTGAAACGACTCTCGTGGTGGCCTCTAGAAGCAGCTGGCCTACACAGGGCTCCATGAGGGCAGGTTCTGGCCTGTCGCTCTCTCCTCCCTGGTGCCTAGGGAGGTGTGCAGTGCATGTCATTCAGCCTCTGCTTCATTCCAGCAATAACTCAAAGCCCTTTTCATTTTTCACTTTTGATTTGGTGAGAGCTGCTTCTGAAACAGTTAGTCATTGTTTTTTTAACTTTCACTTTTTTAAACTCTCCAAAAGAGCAAGGAATAATGTCTCAGCTTGGGCTGCCATTACAAAATACCACTGACTGGGCGGCTGGAGGAACAGATATTTATTCTTCACAGTTCTGGAGGCTGTAAGTCTGTGATGAAGGTGCTGGCAGGGTTGGTGTCTGGAGGGAGTGCTCTCCTTGGGTTGCAGATGGCTACCTTCTAGCTGTGTCTTTACACAGCAGAGAGAGAGGGAGAGAGAAGGAGAGAGAAGGCAAGCTCTGTGGTCTCTTCTTACAAGGTCACTAAGCCTATCATGAGGACCCCCCCACTCCACCCTGTCATGACCCCATCCAACCCCAGTTCCCTTCCAAAGGCCCCAGCTCCATATACGATCACATTGGACATTAGGCTTCAACATATGAACAGGGGAGGCGGACATAGTTCAGTCCATAGCAGAAGAGCTCACTGACATTTTTTCAGTGTGTGCCAAGTTTACAGCAAGAGCTAAAAGCCTTCGTGGTTTGTGTAAATCCCTCAAGCGGAATTGGGATGACTCTTGCGCAAGCTTTGTGCATTCCTCAGGAGTTCTCACTCTCAGGTCTTGCAAAAGTGAGTGTGACCAGACCTGGAACCAGGACACAGCCCGTGACGTCATGGCCTCACTTCTCCCAACTGATACTTCTCCAGGAATTGTTGGGCTTAAGGAAGGAGGCAGGTTTAAAGCTGCAAAGAGTTTTTACCAAATGGGCGCTATGTTTCTTTAAACACTACAAGGAGGTATTGATGTATATCTTCTGGCAAATCTGTTCTTTCCCTCCATTATTACTAAGGATAACAATAGTATGAATTGAACTTATATCAAAAGGAGATGAAAACATAGTGCCTTTCTTTAAAGCTCCTTTGAGCTTAAATTTATTTCATTTCTAAAAATAAACTGCAGAGATTAGATCTATCCTTTGAGTGAATCCAAACAACTCAGAAAATTAAACACCTTAGCCACATCCCTTCCTTTCCAGAAGCACAGAGCACTGTTTAGCTTGGGAGACATAGAAGTTCTCAATCAGCAGGACAAAATTTTAAAAATAACTTTGGCAGAAAGCAGTCATTTTAAAAGTAAGTCTGTCAGTAGACGAGTACATTTACTGAATAAAATGAAACTGAGAATGTTGAGAAAAAAGTACCAGGATGAAGAATCTATTGACTCCACACCAAGCTGTCTCTGAATTGAGTCTGAGACAAAGTTAGGATAGTCTCAGATTCTCCATTCATCTTCAACAATCGGATATTCTAAGGATGACAGCATTATTTTGCTCTTTGTACTGCTTGGCAAAGAAGCAGTACTTGGCATATTTACAGCCTCTTTACTTAAAAAATAAGTATATGATAGGAAATCAGATAAACCAGGTATTTTAGGATGAGCTGAAGTGGAATGCCCATGAAGAGAAAAGGATAAACAAAACCCTCCAAAGGTGCCAGGAAACACATCAGTGCACATATTAACCTGGCCGCTTGAGAAATGTGAAATACTGAAGAGAAAAGTCTGACACCCAGCCTGGGGAAGAGCTAGTACCTTGTAAAACCGTGCCAGGAAGTTGCAAGTCCAAGAGAAAAAAATGTCCAAAGGGCCACAGATATTTGAAGTTATAACCAAAGGACTAGTATGGGATGGTATGACAAGACACATGGGTCTTTTCAGTACATAGTGTGTGTTGGAAAGTTCAAAGTTTTGACACTTAAACTCTACTGCCCACTCTTCCCTTTTTGGGATGTAGACTAAGAGAATACATACACAAGGAATAGTAGGCAAGTGGGGAAATAAAGTTGAGCTGAAAATGTTAAGCTCAATGAAATGTTGAAAATGTTTAGAGACTTAAGACTTTCTGCTCCTTATAGGAGGCATGGTTTCCACCCCATCTTCCATTCCCACCGCCAACAAGTGGAGACAGACTCCAGGGAATTTTATGCATGGATTCAAGTGAAGAGAGATACCATGTAGAGTCTGGGGTTTGTGTGTAAAGCACTAGAATCCCACTAACTAGTGTAATGAGCCTCAATAAACATATAGCAAGATGAGTAGGTCTTCCCATCAGAGTGAACTTGGATGAGAATAAAAAGCCAGGAGGCAGAAGAGTTTCCTCCCCCCATGGGCAGAGAGAATCATGAGGAAGAACCTTAATGTTCCTCTCACCACCAGCTGCCTAATTACTCCTCATCAATTACATCATACCTGAAACTATCTGAAGAGAAAGTGATTGTGCCTTTGAGCAAGTCCTGTTTGCCCCAGGCTGATTGTGTGTGTGTGTGTGTGTGTGTGTGTGTGTGTGTGTATATATATGATACATCATATATATATATGATCCAAGTATATGTATATATGCATATACACATATATATGATCCTAGGCTATGATAAAAGAACAAAGGTAATTAAAATTATAATGAATGAGTTAATAAGATTGTCACTGATCAGGAAAATGTTCAGAACAAGTCAGATAAAGCCTCCCCACCTTGCCTTACCATGACATCCAAGGAGGCTCTAGGGAAATAGTGGTTAGCCAAGCTTAGTTTGAAAACCAGTAGCTTACCATTTCTCTGGGTCTCAGTTTTCTTATCTATATAATAAATGGAAACCTTTTACTTCAGAGTAGAATGTTGAACATTGTGACAGGCCAGCATTCAACTGAAACAACTAGGGGAGAAAGCAAATGAATTGCAAAAATCATGTTTTTTAAGGAAATCAGAGGGGTGCCTGGGACGCTCAGGTGGTTAAGCATCTGACTCTTGATCTCAGTTCGGGTCTTGATCTCAGGGTCATGAGTTCAAGCCCTGTGTTGGGTTCCACACCAGGCATACAGCCTACTTAAAAAAGAAAAGGTAATCAGAAACCAATGAAAGCAATGAGAGCCACAGTAAATAAATTTCCAGAGAAGGAAGGACTCTTCCTAGGTATACTGAGAAGCACAAGCTCTTTTCTTCAAGGTAGTTGGGGAGGGGGAGGATACTTGCTGATTCTGGGTGGGGGATAAGGATCTGACTTGGCCCAAGAAGAGGGCATATTCTATGGGAAAGGGAAACTAGCAGAGCATTTGCAGTCATGGAATTGGTATGATGGATTGGAAACTAGAGGACCCCCCAAAGGCAAGTCCAGTATTCCCATGAGCCATTTGCTGAGTTCTGGATCAGCCCAGGAGGCTGCAGGCTGGCCCAGAAAGGCAAAGTGAAAACTCTCATGGTATTGGGGTGCTTATGAGACACAATTCTGCTAGAAGTAGGAGCCCATAGCAAATAATACGGTAAGTCCTCCCCTAAAGACAGTTGCTGGGTTTTGAACCTATGTGGGATGGGAAGCTCAAATGCTAAGGCCAGAATTTCTGAAAGGCAGTACTTTCAGGGACCAGGAGATAGAGATCCACCAAGCTCTTAAACGCAAATCTTGGTGGGCCATCCCTGAAGGACTATATAAAGTAGAGCCTTCGTAGAGCTTCAGCCCACCTCATTGGGTTGAGCCCTCATCCTAGAAAAGAGGACCCCACTTCCTGGTGGAAGCAGTCATCTGGAGCCTCTACAGTTCCTTTACACACTGTCCAAGACACAAAGTTATAGACAAGTGAGGAGGCGGGAAACCTGACTAATAATCAAGTGGGAAAAAAACCATAGGAACGGAGCTAGAAATAATCCAGATGTTGGAGCGAACAGTAACTTCAAGATAACTGTGGATACTATGTTAAAGAAAAGAAAACATGAATAAAATGATTGGAGAATTTCAACACAAAATTGAAATCGGTGAAAAGAAAGTTTTTATTGGACTGAAAAAAATGTGTGACATTATTAACATATTGGATGGGTCTAAGAGCAGTTACAGCCTGCCTTTCCTTGGAGATGTGGCAGTGCCAAGCAGTCCTGTACCAGCTGGACAGAGTAGTTCTTGAGTCAGCACTGGAGTTGAAGAGTGTAATGCAGAACTCCACGTTTGAATATGAAAACAAGTCACCTGGCTCTCTGTTCAAATGTACATGTTGTTCAGTAAGTCTGGGGTGAGGCCTAATATTCTGCATTTCCTGCAGGCTCCCAGGTGGCGTTGGTGGCAAGGGCATGCAAGACATCTGTTCTTCTGTGTGCCCAGCACTTTCCCTCTTTCCTCCAAGAAAAT